TACACAAAAGGGAAACGAATGTTCCATTTAATAGGTAAAGAAAACATTGAAAGTGAAGAAAGAAAAGGACAAATCTATATTAAGAAGAGGAAAAAAATACATCTCCATTTTAGCCAAGTAATGGCTTTCCTTATTTCGTCTCTTTCGTAAGGTCTAGAAGCCAAAACTATACCAAACTTGTAATTCTCCGGAGGCTTAGAAAGCTCCTAAAGGACGGAAAATAACTTAAAGCTGTCGACGAAGAGATTGTTCTAGCTTGCATGTGTGTGCTTAATCTTTTTCATTTGGACAAGTTACATTAACTGGTTGTGCCAGCTCTGATAAAAACAGTCTCACGTATGAGAAAAATAATTTATGAAGGCGGAAGCAACTAAGAACGATGATATTCTCTAAAGTTCTTTTCAATATGTTGTAATATGCACAACACAGAAAATGAGGTATTCAATCACTTGTCTCTCACAAATCGATACTTATTTCTAGAGAAAATGGCCATTATTTCACAAGGAAAATGACTATTATTTAGAGGGAAAATGTCAAAGGAAATGAATGAGGTTTGCAGAGTCGCGAAAAGGCTGAGGCAAGTGAAGCATTTGCCTCAGGTGAATAACTAAAAAGGGCATCAAATAAGGTATGAAAATTCTGAAATTCGTTTCAAAAAAGAAATTATGATCATTAAATTTCAACTTCGGAACACATCAAGAAGTATCAAAAGAATTTTGTGTTTTAAATCATGCAGATGAATTAAAAATAATAACATATTGATCTATTATGAAATGTGCTGAGCTTTAACAGTACTGAAGATACTGTTTTGTAATATTAATAATTCCGGGTTCCATTTGAGTTTGGAAAGCAGGGTTTAAAATACTCTTAACGTTGCCTATTATTGTTGCTTGTGGCAAAAGGAGCTTCAGCAAATTACAAAATAATAAAAAATAAGTTAAGAGAAAAATTCAGATATGCCATTCTCTGTAATATAACATAAATTCGATGATTAAGTTGATTTAAAAATATATGTTTGTATCTACGCGGAATCTTTTGTGGAGGGGCTATATTTCTCTTAATATGTCAGCCCTCTTCCGAGAAATCTGTTTTTTTTCTGACTGTTAATTTTCTGACTTTTTTTGTACTGTTCTATCCTATTTCCTTGTATGCACATTTTTTTAATGTATGATTTTAAAACATACATTTCAACCAAATACGTATTTTTTTAAAAATTATTTGTATATTCGTAATTTCGAAATCAAAGTGTGACGAATGTTTAAGCTATATGTTTAATTTGTATTATTGTGTCATAACACAAAGACACAATAAAGATTAGCCATAATGTTGCACATTTTAGAAAGCAATCGAACTTGTCTTGATAATGCTAATAGTTCATGAATGTTCGCGTTAATTTTATAAGGGAGTATTTAGATGTTGTGCAATGGCTCATCAAACCTGATTTTAAGTAAACACACTTTATAGCCCATTAGTAACTGTGCTATGGTGGGGAAATGTTGCCAAGCTTCCAATTTTCATAGATCAACATATCTTCAATCTATTTCCCAATTTCTCTAGCAGAAATGAAACCTTAAAATGTCTTGAATAATACATATCCACTCCAATTTAATAATCGAGTAGAGCTGCAACCTGCATAAATTGAGTTTAATAAGAGCCCAATGTATAATATGTTCGATGGACAGAAGACGAGTCTTTCATCGTTAAGGAAGAAAGATATTCGATTCATATATTGGTTTTGCTCACCTTTTATACGTAGGTTATTTAACGCAATTCTTAGAGAAAACAGGATAAAGAAAAAACGAAAAGTGAAAGAAACAAATTTATATATTATTTATATTTTTTAAAATATATGTAAACACACTTGGATAAAAGGAACGGTCGGCAATCAAAATGCATTGATACTTTTAATATAGAACCAATAAAAGATAAATAAGGGTTTTGATGAGAATTATTAATAGTGATGTTATTGTGCATATCTTATAAGGTATTTCTTCCTCCTATTTAGCGAGCCTTCGTGGTGTAGTGGTCTGCACGCTCAGCGCGTAATTGAGAGGTCCGCGGCTCAATTCCCGGCGAAAAAGTTGCTAATTTTTCATCTTGCCTGCTTCCAAAAAAATACCTAATGCTTCTACAATCTGAAACTTATTCCATTTGCAACAGGATCTTTACTCTGTTTAATATGAAACACTTCTGCCACAAAGTATTGGACCGGACTGATTGTCGCCTCTCGAGGATAAAGGAGATGAATAGTAAGCTTCATTCGGATGATAAATGAACACTTATAATCATAAACATTTGTCCATGAGATTCAATTGAAGGTGTAAATCTTATAATTATTATACACATAAAAGCTCTTGCAGTTTTTTTCATATAAGCAGCGGCTGAGGTTCAAAGTTCAGTTCTCACATTGCTTCGAATTAATAACTTACTCGATGCCACACACACTAAAACACGAATGAACCAATAAACAGATTTCAGATCTTAAGCAATTTATGACAACAATCTTGCTTTATAACTAAGCAATAATTTTTAATTTACCTATGCTTAAGAAATATAATTCGTCGTTTATAGTCGTCGCATAAGATTTAATTCGTATTTGAACTGAAATGTAAGGTGAAGAGTTATACATTTCATTCGAAATCGAAGAAGCCTGTTGAAGTAGTTGTTGCTAATCCCAAGAAATTAGTAACCCAATGGTGTGCTGGTTCTAATTTTAAAATCTAACTCTTTATCTCATACATTACTTTGTAGGAGTTCTTATTTTTCTCTGAAGTTTAAGAAACTAGTCTTACTCTATACGAAATCTAAAATGTAACTCTTCATTTATCCTGGAGTTCAAAATCACTTTGTTTTATTTGAGGTGTAGGTATAAGTTTGCATACATGATACAAAAGATCTAATTCTAAGATTATGTATTTGATACAAAGTTGTAGCGCTTATATTTAAATTTAGTGCAAAATTTTGTATACTTAGGACAGTAGAGCTGCAAATATGACATAAAGAACGACAAATTACAGGTTATGAGATAATTAAAACGAAAAGATTTTAGTGATATAACTTTGATAGCTGAACGGATATTAAAGACTTATCAATGAATTGCATGATCGCAGATTCAAACCCTAGTGAAGCCAAATTGTTTAGAGAAAGCTTCAAAATGGATCTCTTTAGATGCCATGGAAGTTTAAAATATTTTACACTATAAAACGTATTAACAAAAATATTTGTTACTTCTTAAAACACATGTAAAATCCTCTGCAGCACTGTATAATGAAAGATCTCGTATTGAAATCCTTTTTCCTTTCTTTGAAAGAGGCATTCATCAATGTGACTAATGGATCAGACAAAGAAGAAAAGGTGTATACAAAATGCAGATAAAATTCATTGCAAGTTAAACTAAGATAACAAAATGTGAAAACAAGAATGTGTCTGGCATGATTATAACATGAATATTTTATAAATTTAAGTACATCGTAAAAAATGACTCGCCTTTAATTTTCTCACAAATAACTTATTTCAGAAAACTAGTATGGTAATGACATATACAATAAAGTAATCAGAATCTGGAACTGGCAGTAATTTATAATGCAGTGTTAAAATATTTTCATACCGCGAATGCAAAACAAATAGCCTTATATTGTCCTATTCATAAGAAAAATTAACTGTATTTTCAATTAAAAAAAAAAAAAAAAGTAAAAAAAACTTAAACTGTTATTTAAAATTTTTATCAAATGATGTTGATACGATGAAATGCAAAATCGAAAAATAATGCAGCATGTTTCAAAAATAAGTTGATAAACTAAACATGCTGGTCCGTTATACCGTGATGACAAACAAGATTTACATAGGAAATATCCAAAGGAAACAGGAAATTGTGAACGGCGACCGCTAGAGGGCAACGTTCACATGCTCATGGGAGAGTGGGATGTGTGATCCTTTGAGGCGAGGACATTGCAGGAGATTGGTGAATCGGTTTACTAACTCAGTCCTTTATGGACATTTTGTAGAAGAAGTGTTGCCGGATCTGATGGTTGATGCTCCTGCAGCTACACGCTGAAACATGTCATTTCAACATGATGGCCTGCACATTTTGGCACAACTATTTAGGACTACCTCGGTAGGATATATCTCGATAGCTGGATTATCAGTTAAAATTAAGTAAATGTTCCTTTTACCATTTCTTCTTCTTATTTTATTTATTCTTATTCAAGATTCGAAAGATTTGAGAGATTCAAGATAGAAGATGCTGGAATGTGCAAATGATTAGAATTTCACGCCAGTAACAGGACACTTCGAAAACAATATAAACGAGCGCAAGAAATGTTTACATTCGGAAATTCCATTTAGTCACTATTTTTGTGTATGCTATAAGTTATGTTACGCCTCTTAAAAGAGAAGAGTTCATTGCAGCACGTCACCGAATTAATCTTCGATAGCAGAAGAATCTTACGTACCGAATGGCGGATTATCATACCACATCACTGGGGTACGATAAGATTCAGTAATTAGTATGAGAATTTATAATCCCTAAATTTAGGATGGAAAGCTCTTCAGAGTGACAAGCAAGATCTCAACATTCCTCATTCATTGCTGCCTAAGATGGCATATTCTCTGCTTTGCTGTTAGGAATCGTACAGGGACATCATGTATCATATCGTGATAACAGGCGTGCTACACAACAAAAATATAAGCGCTTGCAGTTTGGAGACGATTGCAGCTTCCCAGATTATCAGCAAGGCCATCATAAAATTCAAGGTCTACAACGACATGCATAGCTACGTCAATGACATAATGTCATTTTTTCGGACGAATCCGGGGATTGCTTACGGAACATTTAAATTCCTATAATTTTGCAAACGGGTTGAATATTTAGAGCAGTCTTTCCCTCAGATTGAGTTTTTGCTTCCTCTTGCGTAAAATACTGACAGTTAAAAACATACACTTCTAGTTCAATAATCGAACTATATTCAAACAACTCAGTACGCTTTAAAAGATAATTTTACCTGCTTCTTGAGAGTTTCCACTTGCTTTTGAATTTCGGTTTCTGAAAGGGAGGGAGTACTTGGTGGTCCAGACTTTGATTGCTAGAAGAAAAGAAAAAAAATTCAATAGTTTAGTTTTACATTCAAAATACCTAAAGAACACAACTCAGTCACAAGAGTGAATGACTAAATAACATAAAATTAATGAATCTGTAAACGTATCATTTTTCCTTTTTTTAGTTAACCTTTTTCCCCATTGTTTATTTTTAAAGCTAAATTAATCTTATAAAAATAACCTTATAAAGTAATCTCACTCCCCAGAAATCTCAGTTAGCTCCCCTTCCATAAATATGCAGGGTTATTCAAAATGAAAGAGCAGATTGCAAACATGTACAAAAGATAGAAACATAATTCTAACGTTAATAGATAGAGAAAAGTGTACAATTTAGTTAGGATAAAAGTTCCAATCATGCCCGCATTGGCGCTGTTGTTTGTTCTGGTATTATTTGTCGGTTGGTAGTCTGTAGTGAAATGGCGGCGACACCACAGGAAGTCTTCTTGTGTTCTACAATTGGCAAAACTAGAGTCCATTGTTGCAGTTCAGCTAGCATTTCACTGTCCAATTTAATAAACAACCACAGCGTCATCAAGAAAATTTACGAGTGGCATCGACAATTCGTAGAAGATGGTTGCATCTGCAAAGGGAAAAGCACGGGACATCCACGCACATCGAAACGAAGAACGTCGAGCGTATTCGTACACTTTACGAGAGGAGCCCAAAGAAATCCATATCGCGAGCAAGTAAAGAACTTAAAATTCCTCAACCAACGGTATGGCGAGTTCTAAAACATCGTCTGCAGAAGAAGCCATACAAACTGCAGTTATTGAATGCATACCATAATTGTAAACTTTTCTCTATCCATTTTATCTATTTTCTGTATCCATTAACGTTAGAATCATGTTTCTATCTTTTGTAGTTTGGAAGAAATAAATTTTTAAAATCTGCTCTTTCTTTTTGAATACACCTGTATATTCAAAATCAGTGTACTATATAATTTCTCTTCGTATGATGACCTTCAAATGAATTTACCTTTTTAAAATGAGTCATATTAATTAAAAGTTGTTTTGCAGTGGTGTAAAATTCCAGGGGCTGTACAGGTACGTAGTTTAATGTGAAATTGTGCTGCAAGTAGCAGAACTTTATTATGCGCACTACCGTTATTTTGACACACAAGATGTAGAATTAATTACTATTTTTCTCAGTTGATATTTAGCTGCTTGTAAAGTCTTATATCTAGCGACAGCCATAACTCACCGCCATTCTTTAAGAGAATAATAGCGGCCATTAAGTCAAGATCCGCAGGTTTGCTATATAACGTATACACTACTGTAATGTCTGCATATTTTATTAAAAATTTTTAACACATATTTTCATTTATGGACATTATACAGATCATTCAGTTCTAGGCTAAATGATTTGGGTACTTCTCCGTTTCGCCGGCGCAAATCTCGCCAAGCAGACTTTATTGGCGAAAACACACAGTATACAAATAAAAAATGTTGACAAATGTTAGTTCTAAGAATTTTTTATTTTAAAAGTATAAAAATTTTAATGTCGTTTAAAATTTTGTAAAATAGGCCAATAAATGAAGACAATAAATTTGTAAAAAGGCATTAATTTAAGAATTTACTATGCTTTCTTGGTACAACATCCTGATTCGCTGGTTCATATCCCGTGACCCCAAGTGATCTCATTTCACGTAAAACTAAGCTACAAAATTCTAATTCTCTCAGAAATTATCTATATTAATTTCAAGTTGAATCTTAATTTGGAATGCAAGAATTATTTCGATTCGTACGAATAGCTTAGTCAGAAATTATATAAAACTGCAGCGCTTAACTTCGCTAGTGCATTCTCATTGGAATGGATGAATTTAACCCTTGACTTTGCCTTTTCTATATTTTCGCCATCGGGTGAGCCGTATGATTTCATCTTAATTGACTTAATTAGCGCCCGCGAATGGCCATAGGGCATAAAATTGAACTATGTGGTAAATATTCTATGTAATTGTATGCCAGTATTGAAATAAACAATCAATCTGATAAGAAATGGCTGAGACTTGTTTTGAAAAACGGAAAACGGAAAAGTACCATGATTTGCATTTATTCTTCCTTAGAAATCCCATGATAACACTAGGAAGCATAAAAAAATGCGTAGATTTTAAGGGTGTTTTAAAATGCGTAAAACTCGTTATATTATTAATTACATTGTAAATTATCTATGAATAATTTAATGTCATTATGATTTGGGTATTTTGGAAGAAAATGACTTTTGCTAATACTGCCTATTTATTAGTTTACATTCAAATTAAACTGTTACACATATTACAAATTTTATCGTTAAAATACATTATTTAAAATACTATAATATTTACCTGGTATGTATTTTAGAGCTATCGTCAGTTAGATAGATATGTGTTATTATTATTAGCACTATCAAATTACAAAACGCTGCATAATTTGTTTCTTTTTTTCGGTTCTTTACTTATATTAGTATATTACGTCATAATTTAAAAATAACATTTGAGTTAATACCTTTCTAAATTCTTAAAAATTGGATGCAGCTATTTTAGAAATTGCGAAGTCAATTGTTTAATGTTCGTGTTTAATATTGCAAAAGAAAAAATATTTACGAATTTACACCATGATGCATTTTCTGCTTCCACTAAAACCGGGATATGAAAAAGTTCGGACATGTTTCGAGAAATTTAGCCCTTAGAGTATGAGTCGAAATTGGTTTCAGATAAAACGACTTTTTTTCGATTCAAAAATTTACAACTACTTTTGCTCACTTCAGAATTTCGAGAAATTTTAATCAGATTCTCTCGAAATATAAGAAGCAGATTTTCAAAATTAATCCCAATATAAAAATTGAACTCTTGAAGAAAAAGTTAAAGGAAAATTTATAATAATAAAAAAAGAACTCGAAAGTCAGGTTTTTCATAAAAATTTTTGAATTTTAAGTAAAATTTACATTTTTTAAAAATTTTATCCTGATTTACATAATAAGAGATAATAAGGAATCAATATAATTTATTTTATCTAATAAATATGCGTTACAGAGATTTCCAATTTTGTTATCTTGGGAGGGTAAGGGGAAAAGAAAATTCTTACTTCTATTTTAAGATTTGAATTTATGCTGATTTATTTGAACCTAAATGTTGTTAAAAGATTTAACAGCCATAAACGTAATAGCAGATTATGAAAAATGTGCAATTGATCGTCAACATAAAACATTGCACTGGTGCTGATAATTACTTTGCCTTTTGTTTAAAAATTATATTTATCGTTATCACGTATCGTTTGCCTAAGTTTGAGTTTTTGAGCAAGCTTATTATAATATGCTTCTGAGCCGTAAACTTATGAAATATTATTAGAATCACTCATAAAAAACTATTAGCATATTAGGTAATTAACTTTGTAGACACATTAGGTATTTTTTTAAAGTGGGTTAGATGAACAATAAGCAGTGCCCTCGCGGGGACTCGAGCCATGGATGTCTCGAATACGCGTCGAGAGTGCTAACCACTACACCACGAAGACATGCTAAGAAGGCTGGAGAAATACCTTATAATTGATGCTATATATTCGAGTAAGAGATAAATCTTCAAAGGAACCCTCAAATTTATTGATGATTTATTTCATATTTACGCCTGTTGAATGCTTCATGGTGTTTTAAAAATATATTTGATTTTAATATTAATTATAATTGTTACATTTAATAACTGGCATAGAAAACTTAAGTCTAATGCAGCGGTTCCCAACCTTTTGACTAACAACGCGTACGATCTAAACAAAAATTTAAAACCGTTAGTACCACCACTACCAAGTACTACTACCACCACTCTTGAACAAAGCTCAGATCGCATAAATTTACGATCGTTAGAGAAAAAAAACTCAATCAGGATGTTGGGGTTTTTGAATTTAATAGTTAAAAATTCTTTACGTACTACCTATTTTTCTTTTGCGTACCACCGGTGAGAACCCCTGGTCTAATGCATTTCTGGCAGTATCACATTTCAACAATGAGGACATTGTTTGTCATTAACGCATTGTTTATACTGCCTTCAATTTGTGCAGTAAAAAGGGTTTTTCCTAATACACTAGTGAGCAGGCTATTTATTCACATAAATTAAACAAAACTATTAGTCGTATTCAGCTTTACCCAGTTTTGAGTGTGATCTAAACCTGGAAAATTTCTTAGGCTTCCTACGAAGGCAGATTTGCGCTATATGTTGAATAAAGATTGAAAAAAATGCAGCTCACTGTTTCGGATGTTTTACTAAATGCATTTAATTATGAGATATCCAATCTCAGGTATCGCTGCAGCTCAAACCCTTCTTATTCGGGTGATACAAAGAGTCCTCTGTCATTTTCCACAAGTTTTAAGATTTGCTAACTCTACGCTGGGCTTCAGCTCATGTCAACATAGTTTATAGTCATTTAGCTGGTAACAGGATAACGGAAAGAAATGCTTAATCGCTATTTGTTTCACTGGGCTTTACCATCATGCATGAAGCTTTCCTCAAACAGTCTTTTAAGATTTGCGTACGTTGCTTCTGCTTTTGTGAGAATAAGTAAAACGCAGCACAATATATACTTTCATCTATCTATTCACGAAAGCGTTTCAGTTATGCTCGTACAGGCATTTAGTATATGATGTCCTTAAATTCCTCAAAGTGATGTGGGGGCGAATTTCACTTTTAATTATTTTAGTATTCATTATTTTCATTACGAAAAATATTTTTATTGTTTGTATTCCAACACTATTTACTGTAATAACAATAGTAATGTTCAAATAATGTTATTAATCTCAAAATTGCGTAAAAAACAAAAAAATAAACCGATAATAATTAATAATAATAAAAAATAAACTGAAAGCTTTCAGATTTTATATTGCGCCCGATGGGACGTTCTTGAACGTTTTGTGCGTTACCTTTATTTATTAAATATCATACTCTTCGCACTTCAACCATAAAATTCAATTCAACAGCAATATCACAAAATATTTAAAACTATCTTTAGAATTTTCGATACACAGTGT